TGACTTCCGTAGTAAGTTCGTTCTAATTGGTCAATATTAGCCGGGTAATTGATAGGTCCAAGATTTACTATCTCACAATATTTATATTTACCATGTGATGGAAGCCCATTGATATTAGAAAATTTTATAATAAAAATAAGTATTTTTAATACTGTATCAAATGGTTTAGTTCTGTTACCTACTCTCCCTGTTAATGCATTTTGCCTCTTTTTTTATATCATCATTAGAAAAATGGTTCTAATATTATTCCATCTTGTTTTACCTATGCCATAAATACCCATAAATGCCTTAGAACATATATCTACTCCATTAAATTGGTATTCAGTTTCCATTTTTTGTCTTCTAGCTCCAGTATAATTAAATTCATTTTTCATATTAGCAGCAAGAATACCTTTTAAAAAAATATCCTGTTCAATTTTTTTTAATTCAATGAAGCATTTATACCTAATTTTAACCTCTTCATAATTTAAATTTTTGAAACATTCTTTTCCACAACAACTCTTTTTTTTTAAATTTTCCATATATTTATCTATATCTATATCTATATCTATATCTATATCCATATTATGTTGATCAGATTCTATAATTTCATCATCCTCGATTTTTTTTTTTAAATAAATATTTTTAAATTTTTTAATTTGTTCATTAGATAGAATATCTGTTTCTTGATAACTTTCTTCTGAACTTTCATCTTCAATATCTGATATAACTAGTACTTCTTGTTCAGTTTCTTCATTAAAATCTGCATCTAATTGAAATGATATTTTCATTTTAGAAAAGGATTCCTGTAGGTCTATTAACTCTGGATGTGTTTCATCAAAAACACTGTCAAAAAATAAATGTGTAGAAGACATTTAAATTATGTAATCATTATAATAAAACCTGTAAAAATGTGTAGAACGTTAATTTACAATAATTGCTTGTGTTACATGTAACGTAATTTGACTAACGCCCTTTCACTTTTCCTCAAATATCTCAAAACATTTATAAGCAAAGTGGGTATAGTTACTAAGTTAAAAATGTTCTTTGCGATGAATTACATATAAAAATATTGTTAACTCAAAATCGACTTTTTGGTGACATGCCTCGTTTCTATTGATCAGACCCCATTTAATCTTTTAATGATATTAATATTAAAATATAATATAAGAAGTAAAATCATGACATTCAATAAAAATGATATCAATACAATCAAAAAAGCAAAGGAATATCCTGACTATCATGGTGGTGAACTCACTCAACCAGAAAAAGAAATCTTTAATAGTTCTCTTTTAACTCCTAATGGTATTTTGGATGTTTCTCTTCTCCAAGATACTGCTGAATTATTAAATAATTGTAAAAAAGCAGAGGCTAATTTAGTTACTGAAAAAACTTCTGAAACAGGATTGTCTACTAATGGTAATGCTTTACTTGTTGCTTTAATGGAGCAAAGAAGAAATAATTCCATTGCTTACCAATTAGTTAATGAAAAGGATGAAAATGAGGAAAGAAGAGTTGATAAAATGGTAAAAGAATACCAAACTGTCTTATTTAGAAAAAACAATAAAACTTTGGATTTAAAATTAAAGGAAGCATTAATTACTTTTGCCAAAGTATCAAAAGAAGAAGAAAAGGTTGCCAAAGAAATTACTGAGTTAGAAAAAAAATATAATCCTCAAGTTCTTCAAGAACAAACTGATTTAGAAAATAAGGTTGACACTGCAGTTACTGCTTTAAAAGATGATCTTAGAATTGTTAACACAGGAGGTCGTAAATTTTTAGAATTTATAATTGAAAATGGTAAAAATTTTTCAGAATTAAATTATAAATCTGATGTTCCAGCTACCACCGAACATTATGGTTCCATTATCAAAACTGGTTATAATGGGAATAATAAACCTTATACTCATCCACTTTATTTGAGTACTGATTTTGTAGGGCAAATTTGAACTATTCTCAAAGATATTGATAAAGATAAACTTTTCGAATATATTGATTCTTCAGATTGTGCTTGGGATGCTGGTGATAAGAAAAAATTTAAAGGTGCTTTTGAGAGAGTTATAAACTGAAATGCTAAAATTTCAAATGAACGTGATAAAGATTTAATGAGTTATCTTTATTCTAATACAAAAAGAAAGAAGAATATAAGTAAAGGAGAGTTCAAAGAGAGAAGAAGGTATATTAGTGATATTTTTTATGTCATGCATGCTCTCTTTCCCAAAGATAGCAACTATCAAAATAGTCCTTTCATACAAAAAGGTCAAAAGAGTTGTTTACCTTTTAAGAATGGCTATAGTTTAGATAATTCTTATACAATGTATTGACGAGGAGCTGATGCAAGTATTATTGGAAAGAAATATGTTGATAATAGCACAAATGTGTTGAAAGCTCCTTTTGATGTTGAAGAAAAACACTTAACTTGGGCTAATGGTCAAATTCCCAAATTCTTTTGACAAGTTTATAATAGTGATGAAGCCATTGAATTTAATGCTTATGATGAGGTAATTAGTAAAGATGGGATTATGGATGAAAGAATTAGAGAGGAAGAAATAACCATTTATGAGAAGAAATTAACTTGTTCATCATCAATTTTTAACCGTCATATTGCAAAAAAAAACTATACTTTGTATGTCGAGAAATTTATCAGTAATTTATTGGATGCGACTGGGAAAAAATTATTTGAAGAGGAAGAGGTTAACGAGCTTTGTCTCGAATGAACTAAAATTAGCCAAAAGGTAGTGAAAAAGGCTATGGATACTCTTGTAAAATTTAGAGAGGAAGCGAAAGGTTTAAGTTTTGATGAATTAAAAGTTAGAAGTAATGAACTTAATCCTTATCAAGCCAAATGATTAACTAGAGAAGTCAAGAATAAAGAAATTGATAATGAAATGATAGATGTGTGAAATGAATGAAAAACTATTACAGCTGATAAACGAGTAGGTTTAGAAAGTATTCATGCGGAATTAGGAAAAAAAAGGAGTGAATTAACTAAAATTAGTCTTCAAAAAGCTGATAAAAAACAAAAACTGATCCAAATCCAAAATCAAATTAAGGATTTTGAAACTAATCAAATTAATCACTTATGAACTCAACTTAAAAATTTAGGAGATAAATTAACTGATCCATCTAATCAAGAAATTATCACTTATCAAGAAACCATTGCCATTAGAACTTTGATTTACTTCTTAACTGATTTAGAAAATGAAGGCAAACTAGAAACTCTCCTTACAACTACTGAAAGAGGATATCTCACTAAAGTAGAACAGTTAGAAGCTATTTGAAATGCTAAACTTCCTACTTATAGCACTTGACAAGGTTTAGGTGCTAGTTTTTGAGAAAGACTAAATAATTGAGAAAAAAAAGAAGGAAGAAACCTAACTGGGAAAAGCATTACAACTTATTTTAATTTACTAAAGAGTGAGTTAAATAATGCTCAGCAAATCATCGGTATTAGTCTAGAAGAAGAAGCAGAATTATTGGCGATTACTAATTACTTAACTAATCCAGAATTAAGAAGTGAAAATCTTCGTTCAGTTTTCAAGATTGATGCAGATATTACTACTTCTTTAGTAGAACAATGAAAGAATTTTGGAGACCAAAAACTCTTTAGAAAAGATGAATTAGAACTAAAAAAGATTGGAAGTATTGTGAATGATTTGGATGATTTTGAGCCTTTCTTTACTCATCTCAAAGATTATTTAAAAGATAAAAAAGGAATTCCTCCTTTTCCTGAGGATAATGTTGCTGAACAAGATAAATTAAACTATTTCTTTACTCTCAGTCCGCAGTATGTAATTGGAGCAGTCGCTGATTATCACATCAAAACTGACAATGCTAAGAAAGAAGAAATTGAAACTGAAATGAGAGCTGATCGAAATCCAGCAGATAAAACTAAAAGTTTAGATTGGAACATTTATGGAGATGGAGTTAGTCCAACTGAAGCAGGAACTAAAAAATACTATTTCGAAAAACTTGGCGGAATTAACCATAGTTATGCTAAAAATGAAACCCAAAAATTAACTCCTACTTCCAAAGAAAGCTTTTGAAGAATGAATAATCTTGCTGCTTGACTAGGTGGACTGGGCTTACTTTTACTCTTAGCAGGAATTATTTGAATTATTCACAAAAGAAAAACCCTTCTCCAATGATGAAATTCTCCTTCCGATTTAGAAGATGAATTGGATGATGATGATGATGATGATGATTAATAATGATTTGATTGTTTATTCTGCCAGTCTTCTTTTCTTTCTTGGTTCATCATGAGCTGATGTTAAGGTTCATTTATTGCTTATTATTTTTCTTTCTTCATGGTAAATTTCATAGGTAATCCTTTCTTTGTCTAAATATGTTTGCAAAGATTTGGTATCTGCTAATTTAAAAATGTAAGGAGCAATTTTTTCACCTTGTTCTTTTTTTAGAATACTTCTAATGGTGCTATAGTTCTTAGGTTCCATAGTAGACCTGATGTAAATGAGTTTCATATTAACTATTTTTATCTAGAGGTAATTCTATATATCACTTAAGATAACAAATTGGACTGTTAAATTATAATTACAATGTAATTGTGATAATAATGACTAAACTTTGATCCCTGAAATTTTTGGGCAATACCAATGTTCACTTTGTCTGGTTTTGTTGCAGCATGCCCCATATTAATATTAATATTAATATTAAAAATGGTGACTGAACCCTATAATTATTTGTATTACTTAATATATTGGCTATTAATTATTTACTGTTCATCAAAACTGAATAATATTTTTTTTGAAAAAAAATGGCAGATTCCAAAGATAATGAATTGACGTTTTATAATAACTTGAAAGGATTAGATGCTGTGAGCCGTTTTTTCATTAATTGGTTGATTTATTATTTATTACCAATGTTTTATCATCATCATATACTCTCATACTCATACTTATCCTCTTATTCACAGTATGCACGTCATAAAAAGTTTATGAAAGATTATGTTTACTTTTATGGAAAGGTTAAGCCAGAACCAACATCAACATCATCATCAACAAATATTTTTAAAACAGAGTTTGATATTTTAAAAGAAAATCACAAGTATGTATCTTTTATTATTTTAAATAATTTAATTTCTTAAATTAAAAAAAAATTTTCAAAAATATATATATTTTTAGTATGTATTATTATGTATATAGAAAGAAAAATTTAAAAAATTATTATTATTATTATAATTTTTCATGATGATGATTGATTGTTTACAATTACAATAATGATGGCGATGATATAACAACTACAATATGGTATTGGGTGAAAGATTTATTCGTGATGATGAAGAGGAGGATGAAGAAAAATTATCATGGGAACAAAGGATCGCAAAAAAATATTATGATAAATTATTTAAAGAATATTGTATAGTTGAATTAAAGTATTATAAAGAGGGAAAGGTAATTAATTTTTTAATTGGCTTTACTGAAAAAAAAAAAAAGGCATTTTTAATAGAAAAAAATTTAATGTTATTGTTATTATTATTATTATTATTATCATTGTCATTATTGATTGATCGTTGATTTGGTTATACATAACTTTTTGATGGGATAATTGAAAAGATTGCTTTAAGATGGAGAATTGAAAAAGAAGTCATATCAGGAAAAGGTACTTTATCATCATAATAACAATAATAAAAAAAGAATTCTCCAACACATTATTTTTTTCTCTTTATATATATAAAAAAAAAGATTTAATTTGATCTATATATCTTTTTTTAGGACAATTTATTTGCGCATCAACAAAATGTTTGGATACAAATGATTTGAAATCATGGGAAGTGAATTTTGCCTATATGGAGGATGGTGAAAAGAAAAATGCTTTAGTGAAAATTAGATTATGTCCAAAATGTTCTGATAAATTAAATTATAGAAAAAAACATGAAGAAGCTAAAGTTGCTAATAATAATAATAATAAGGTTATTAAAGAAGAATTAGTAGATGAAGATTTTGATGAAGTTGGCGATAAAGATGTTAAGAAAAAAGAAAAAAGAAAAAGATCATCAACAGCAGCAGAAAATTCTTCTTCAAGTAAAAAAACTAAACATTCTAAAAAACATAAGAAACATAAAGGAGCAACAATTAGCAATAATGAAGCAACAATTAGTAATAATGAAGCGACAATTAGTAATAATGAAACAACAATTAGCAATAATGAGGCAACAATTAGTAATAATGGAGGAGAAAAAAATGACGATAATAATGAAACTAGAAGTGAACAAACTTCTTCTTTGGAAAGTGGCAAAGATGATGCGATAGGTGATTATTTAAAAATTCAGATTTTATTATATATTATTTATCACTTTCTTCAAGTTATTGATAACTTTTATATATATATATATATATATATATAATGAAGTTAAACAAGAATCAAGAAAAGAAGATTTTGAAGATTTTTATACAAGAATATTTGCAGGATTATTTGAATGAATATAAATAAATTTATTATCTATTTGCTTGAAATTTTATTTTAAATAAAAAATAACTTTATTATTAATAATAGTTACATTATTCTATATAGTCTGATAATAATAAAATATTAAAAGTTTGTTCTTTATCTTTGATAAAGGCTTTGCCTTGTTATTAATTAACAAGGTTATCATCGTTGATATGAGATTAGAATGAATCTCTATTTCCATATTGGTGGTTTTGTGGGTTTTTTTTTTGGATTAGTTGATTTTTGACAATTTTGTGTATTTTTTTTTAGCGGCAGAGGTGGTGGTGGTGGTCGCCGTTTAGGCGATAATGAACTAGGCTTTACAATTTTAGGTTGTTGTTCTTGCTGTTTATGAGATGCCGGAGATGGTGTTGATATTAGTGGAGTAGCTGATTCTTGTGATGATGATGGTGATGATGATGATGATGGTGATGATGATGGTGATGATGATGATGATGGTGATGATGATGATGATGTTGTTGATAATGTTAGCGGCGGCGGCAGCGGCAGTGGCACTGACGGCATCGGCATCTGCATCTGCAGCGACGGCGACGGTGGTTGTGAATTTAAAGAGGATGACGAACCATTGTTCTGTTGATAATTATAATAATTATAAAATTGTGGTTGTTGGTGCTGCATTGGATGGAGTTGTGAGAGGGGTTGGATTATTGGTGATGGTGGAGTACTTGTATTAATTGTAGGAGATATTATAGGAGATGTCCCGGGAAAATTATTTTGTTGATAATTATAATATGGTTGTTGTTGTGAAGGTGGATAAGATGGCGAAGATGGTGAGGGTGGATAAGATGGCGAAGATGATAAAGGTAATGACGGTGATGATGCCGAGAAAGTAGAATATGGTGAAAGTAAATTGTTCTTTTTTGGGATTATAGGTTCCGGCATAGGCATTATTTTAAAAGTATTTTGCTGTTGATATTGTTGATATTGTGGTGTTGTTGGTGTTGTTGGCGTTATTGGTGTTGTTGGTGTTGTTGGCGTTGTTGGCAGTGAATTTGTCGATGATTTGTTTAATAATGTATTAGTAGTATTGTAGCTTTCATAATAATAATTATTATAATTATAGTTGTAATTTGATTGTTGTGGTTGTATTGCTGCTGTTACTGCTGGAGTTGCTTGTGGTATCGTTAGTGTTGGTGATTGATATGTGTGAGTATTATGATTATGATTGTTTTTAGTTCCTCCGCGAGTTTGTTCATTTAGGCTACCTGACCCGCTAATATTGTTGTTTCTAGATTGTTTTAAGAATTGTCTTTTTTTTTTATGCTTTATATGCTTTAAACAACATATTCTAGCAAATAGACCAATAATGACTAAACCAATTAAAACACCAAATACACCTGCCATTGCGACTGCGGGTGTTTTATTTTGGGTTGTATTTGTTGTTTCTATTGTTGAATTCGTTGTTGTTACATCGCGCGGTAACAACAATGCAGGTAATGGTAGTGACGACGATTCCAATAAATATAGTAATAATAATGGTATTCGAAGAATTAAAATTTTATGATACATTTTTTTTTCTTGGGAAAAAAAAAAAAAAGGATTTTGTTTCTATTTATTATATTTATTATAACTGCCAGGAAAAAATAATGATTCATTTTTTGAATATATATAGCAATAAAAATCTGACAAAGCGAACATTTATTATTATGTGACGTAAATAGTTAACTGTGATGTGATATTAATATCGTAATTGTACAGATTTAATAATATCGTAATAGTAATAGTTAAAAATTTAAGAAATACGTCACAAATTTTCAGGGTTCAAAATTTAGCAAATTAGCATGCTTGCAGGCATTATAACTCCGAATAATAATATAATAGCACCCCGTTTTTCAAAAAATGACCGTAATAGGTATCGAATATTGTAATGTGTTAGTACTATAAAGTATAATTTTTATTTTTAAGAATATCGAAAAAGAGAGCGTTTACACTAGTAACTTATTTTTAAAAAAATCATTGATATTAATTTAATTTAACTAGTTTCTATTTGAATAAGCTAGAAAATTCCATATTTAATTTTTTAAAAATTATCAGGTGACTGATATAGTGATTTTTAATCATAATGAATATTCTTATTATTATGTCGATCATGAATATTCGAATTGAACATTCGGTACTAGTGCTAGTACTACATAATAATAATAATAATAATAATAATAAATTAGGAATTCTGAATAACATTTCAATCATCGTGGCTCGGACATGTGGCCTAACGATTTTATTTTATGATTAACGTCACTTTTTTGAAACAAACAATCAATCGTTTTATATTAACATTTCGGGATAGCAGAATTTCTATTCGCAATATAAATTATTATTATTATTATTATTATTATTATTATTATTTTGTTTTATTCGAATTACTCGTTTTATTCATTTCATTCAAATTATTCACTGTTTTATTCGTTTATTCATTTTATTCGCTTTATTCAAATTGTTCGTTTTATTCAAATTATTCGCTGTTTTATTCGTTTTATTCGAATTACTCATTTATTCGTTTTGTTCGCTTTATTCGGTTTATTCAAATAAAAATTATTATTGTTTAAACCTTGTGCATGACTTTTGTTCACGATTAAAAATTGTTGTATGTATGTAGTACCGAATATTCATCGAATATAGTTCATCATTATTGATATATTTCTAATAGTAAAATCGAACAAAAGCAAAAACAGTTTGTTATTTTTCGTGTAAAGCGAGTGCTTTGGTAAAAGGCAACAGTGTAGTGTTTAATTTTGGGTAACTAGTGAGTATTAACAACGATATTCGCTTTAGAGAAGTGTTGTCCTAAAGTTAATTGTTATCGTAGACGTAAGGCTGAAATATTCACGTAATAAAAGGTGCTGTTTCAAACGTGGATCTTCGAAACATCTATATCAATATTGTACTCATAATATATAGAGAGACGGCATTTGTAGGCGGATGCTGATTATTGCAAATAATAATATTTTTTTTTTTTATAAATTTATTTTTTTATATATTAATAATTATCATTCATTATTGATATATTAAATACTGTATGCTAAATATGTAAATTTATTAATAATAAAATTTTAATTTCTTTTATAAAATAAGTTTTTTTATTTGATTTTTTGAAAAAAATTTTTTTAAAGCAAGTTTATCTTAAGAAAAGTGCTCGTTATACATTTAAAAATTTTTTCGATTATTACAATTATTATTATAATAAAGAACCTATTGATCATATAAAATAAATTGTTTTTTTATCTATTCATTATTAAGATATTGATGTAATTCGTATTTGTGATTTAAAAATAAGTATAATTGGTATTATTGTTATTACGGAGATTTGTATTTCTGCAGTATCTAGTGTTATGTTCCTTTGATTTACAATGTTTACACCAATTATTTAATCTAGGTCTTAGTGTGCATTCACGAGTAAGGTGACCTACTTGTTTACAATTGCTACAAAAATTTATTTGTCTATTCTCTCCTTTTGCATCTTGGCTATAATTATTATAATAATTTCTTTTGGTGCTGCTAGAACTACCTCTTCTATTGTCGTTATCTTGACTACAGTTGTTATTGTATCTTCCCCTGTTAAAGCTATTTCTTCTATCGTGATTATCTTGACGATAATTATTATTGTTGTTTCTTTTGGTGCCATCAAATCTATTACTTTTATTTTTTGCGCCCCAATGACCTTTGACATTCTTACTACTTGGATCATTATCACTTGCATTCTTAAGCTCGGCTTCGAATTTAGCAGCAATCTTCAACCAATCATCTTTATCATTTTGTTCATTTGAGCCCCAACCATCATCGTCTAGATTTGTTGAATGTTCGATAAGAATAGGAATGCTGACGGAATTGGTAACACCATTATCTAAATTATCATAAGTTGTTTTTTTAAATTCGGGTTCAGATTCTTCAGTAATTTTCCACCAATCATTTTCACCACTTTGATCTAAACTTGTTGAATGTTCGTTAAGAATAGGAATGCTGACGAGATTGGTACCACCATTATCTAAATTATCATAAGTTGTCTTTTTAAATTCGGGTTCAGATTCTGCGGCAGTTTCCGACCAATCATTTTCACCACTTTGATCTAAACTTGTTGGAGATTCGATAGAAATAGTAGTACCACCATTATCTAAATCATTATCTAAGTTATAATCTAACCTTTCTAATTCAGCCTCAAATTCAATTTTTCTTTTCAACCAATCCTCATCGTCGTTATCTAAATTACGACCTGCTCTAACCTCTAATTCAATTGCCTTTCTCGACCAAATTTCGTCATCATCGTTGGATTGATCAGGGGAATTGTTATTTTCGGATTGATCGTTATTAGTTCCATCACTATCACCGTCAACTGATTGAACAAATAGTACCTGATTAATTACTATTGTTTCAATTTTGATATTTTCAACTTTGCAAAGTTCGGAATATGTGGATTGATCGTTATCAGTACCAATATTATTAACTGATCGACAGAATAGTATCTGGTGATGACATTTTTTAATTATTGTTGTTTCAATTTTAATATTTTCAATATTGCAAAGTTCATTATTATTAGAGTAAATATTTGCCATATCAATGTTGCCACGAGTATCTTGGAATGTTGTTGCGCTCGTAACGTTGTCTTCAATAATAGATTCATTGATATCATCAGTATTTGGTACTGATTCCGATTCAAAGTCAAAGTTGTTGAGATGTGGTTGGAAGTTTTGTCCGGTAACGTCATCTTTGATGTTTAAATTAGATTTATAGATATCATCAGTGTCTGGTACTGATTCCGATTCAAAGTCGAAGTTGTTGAGATGTGGTTGGAAGTTTGGTCGTGTAACGTCATCTTTGATGTTTAAATTAGATTTATAGATATCATCAATGTCTGGTACTGATTCCAATTCAAAGTCGAAGTTGTTGAGATGTGGTTGGAAGTTTGGTCGTGTAACGTCGTCCGTGATGTTTAAATCTATCGTCATGCGTGAAACATCATTGCCAGACACAATAATACTGTCAAGTTCCTTTTTTAGATTGTTAATATCAACTGATTCGACGTGTGAGCCAACATCATTATTTGTTGTTTCAATATCCACAGTTGGAAGCAACAGGATGTAAATGGAAATTGGCAATAAAAACATTGGCGACATTGCCATTATATATTGAATTAAAATAATTGTTTTAAATATAAATATTGCCAATTTTATCAGAAAGGCAATCTCGCATAGAAAGATTGTTTTTTCGATAATTGACATAATTATTTGTATGTGATAATAATAAAAATAATAATTTTTGTTTGTTTTGAGAGAGAAGTTTTTTTTATAAAAAAAGTTTTTGGCGAGAATTTTTTTTTATAGAAAAATTTTTTATTAGAGGTTTTCGTGAGGGGTTTTTATAAGAAAAGTCTTGAGAAGTTTTTTTGTGAGAAAAAAAATTTTTTTACACAATTAATCGTGCAAAACCATGTGAATAAAAAAACAAAACATGTAAAATCTTATGATGTAGTGACGTAACTTTATGTGATTGATGATAGATACTTTGAAGTTGTCGTAATTTTTTTGTTAATTTACCACAAATACTAAGGGTTATATCGATCAATTATCAAGTTTGATCTGGCAATTTGTATTAATATATTAGGTATATATTGGGTTAGAACAAACCAAAAACCATGAGAACAAAGTACAAACATGTAAAATCTTGTGATATAGTGACGTAACTTTATGTAATTGATTATAGATACTTTGAAGTATATAGTCGTTTCATAAATATAAGGGAGTTTATTTTTTCTCCCTCACTCCTCAATTATCATTGTCCATCTTGCTTTGTATCCTTCATCGTATGATGACAATCATTACTATTTTATACAACAATTGAAGAAAAATCTGTGTGTTCGTTTTAAAGAGTGTAAAATCATATACCGCATACTTCCGAAAATAAGCAGCCCGTGAATAAGCCTTCAACCCCAAAAATAATGAATTCACGAGCTTTTCAATAGTTAAAAAATTTTATAAAATTTACTAAATTTTTTTATGTTAATTCAATTATTACTGTGTTAGATAAAAATTTAGATTGATGGATAATTTATAGTTTGCGCCATCTAAATAAAATCTTCAAAATCCCATCCAAATAGCAATGATTACTCTGGTGTCACGGGATTATAAAATCACATGACTTAATCATTTATCATATTCGTTATGAATTTGAGTATTCGAATTACATTGAAAGTTTATTCAAATAAACTTTTACTCAAATAAATGAATAAAACAAATATATAATTCAAATAAACGAATAAAATGAATTGAATAATTCGAATAAATGAATAAAACAAACAAAATGAATAATTCAAATAAACGAATAATTCAAATAAACGAATAAACAAACAAAATGAATAATTCAAATAATTCGTATAATCAATTTCTTTATCTGAGCCTTCTTCACTTGATGTATATTCTAAATTTTTATTCAATTCGTTATTTGACTTTGTTTTTTTAACATTTCTAGCCTTTCCCAAATGTGCAGTTTGCTTATTTAGGCTTAGCATTTTTTTTAATTGAAAGAATGTAAATTTGTTAATAGTGCATTGTTTGTTGATTGCTTACAAAAAATATGAACAGATTTGGTTAGGTCACGTGATTTGAATATCCTTTACTAAATAGTTTTTTTTCTATTTTATTATTTAAAAAAAAAAGCCTTGATGATTCGAAGTTGCACGATTTTTTTTGATGTCTTTAGATGACACGCATATATCAATTCAACCTGTGTAAATAAGCAACAAATTAAGCAAAATAGATTTAGTCCATGAATAAACAATTGTTGGTTTTTTGACAGAAATTCGTTGAAGTAAATGGTATATAAAAAAATAAATACTATTTAGTTCTTTATTAACCACCTGGTAGATCTCCTCGTCCATATCACTTCAACTACCGCACCCTTATAAACGATTGCTTGAGGTAGCCATTTAAATACTCGCATCAATCAGGTCTCGTGATCATGATATTTTCTGAGAGAATGCATCAAATTATTTTATAATTTTTCTACAAGGTAGCAAATCAATGGATTAAAAACACATGGGGATCCCTGAATTCAGTATCATTTTTTTTTGATGGTATCACCATACTAATATAAACAAAATTAATATTTTTGGCTCAATGATTATTAAAGTTTGGTTAGCCAATTTCAAATTCGTTGATTTTCGTCACATCTCATCAAGTATGACGAAATCATAGGGATGGGAAACGTAAATTTCATGCGCATATGGTTATGCAGTGCAATCTTTTTTTTTAGTTTATATTAAAAAAACAATTACATCATTATTTAATAAAAATATTATAATAATAATGCTTTCATCATTATTGTCATCATCATTAATTGTAAAACGTGTGCAAGTACATCTTTACTACATTTTTAAAATGTGCTTCACATATTTCCCAACTTTTCAAAAATGATTTTATTGTGTAATAATATAAATTTATAATTCTCTGTTGAAAAATTCAGTATGGGGTATTTCTAAATTTATACTTAAAGTTACACGACGAAAGTCATAATCACAACTTTTTTCATATTAATTAGAACCATTATAATTATTACTTTTCATATACCTATATATGTATTATAAATTATTTAATTCTAAAGTAAGGGTTTGTTGATATTTTTGCTTGAACCACAATGTTTAATAATCTCAAACATATTTTTATGACTCTGATCTTATGGGCTCTTATTAAGTTGGCAGTTTTTTTATTTGATTTGTATATCAATAGTCCCACTAGTGTTTAATAAAGTCCATCTTTCCGGACCTCGACTAGACTTCCCGTTAGCCTTGTTAAATGTTTATTAAGCGAAAAAGAATTAGGTTGTGAAAATGTTTATTACAGAACGGATTATTTGTAAAGAAACAATTTGATATTAATTTTTGCCCCTATTCTTATGAACGAGACTCTGAATATTAAGTAAATAATTAATTAATTAGTTGATTAATTCGCAATTCGTGATAAACGGAAAGGATCGACATACATTTTAATAGTAAAATGCGGGGTTAATAACTTAATAAAAT